AAAAGGAGGGAAAAGAGATAAATGGGGTTTAGGAGCTAAGTATGTAAATATTTAAACAGCTGTCATACAAAGCTTGAAAAGCCTCCTTTTCAAACAAATAGGGTGCAGTGCCAGCTATAATTCCTTCTTGCTACTGGAGTTTCTTCGTCCACAGTTTTTTGTTCTGAGCTGAGCACATAAGCTCTGAGATGGGAATTCCTATTGCTCATTTATATAGTACCCAGTGGAAGAGGCCCCTGCTCTTTGACCAAGGCATTGTAATTCAAATTATTAAAATCTTATGATGCTAAACTTCTTTTTCAAGATATTACCACTAAGAGTCACATAAAATCACATCACTGTATAAGAATAAACTCCAGACCTTCAGTGCTAATAACTAGAAAACAAAATAATTTTCCAATAAAATTTCTCTTCTGTCCTTAGTTTTATTTTTAGTTTTGGCATCTTGCCTCTCATCATGACATTCCTTCTCCTAAAACAGTGACCTTTGGTTCCAGAGGACATTGGGTACAAGTTAAACATGATGCTAAAAGAGGGACCTTAAACCAGCCAGTTTTGATTTGTGATGTATATGGGTAAGTTGGTAGCAAGGGCAGACTCTGCAATGTATGGAAATATACATTACACAGAGGGAAGAAATTATTTCAGATGCTGCTCAGTGTAGAATTAGGCACATCTTGCTATTTAATATTCCACACTGACTGTTTCTGTTTAGCATCTAAATGATAATATAAAATATTTATATAGCTATTTAATCATTTCAGGAAGACCACAGAGTATGGGGAGATTCATGATCTCACAACAGAAGAACAGTTTGTAGAGGGAAAGTACATGGTGAAGTTTGAAACCAGCTCCTACTGGAAGGCACTCGGGCTTTCTGCATTCCATGAATACGCTGATGTGAGTAGTGGCAAATATCCTTGATAACCTGTACACAATCCCTAGTGGCATCAGCTGGAAAGAGCAAACACAGCCCTTTAATACTGAAGGAGCAGCAACACTCAATGAAGTGGTTCACTGCCACACAGCCTGGGCAAATAGAGGCAGTAAATATCCAGCTCAGCCACAGGAAGAAGCCCACTTCCCTGCAAATGCTGACACAGCTCTTCCAAAGTGTAGCTGTGCCCATTCACCCACTCATACCCGTAGGGAGTCTTGCTTGAAAAGAGCTACATTATTCAATAGTAGACAGTGTTTATAAAAACAAGCAAAGAAAAACAAAAAGAAAAAAAAAAAAAAAAGAGACTGCTTTTACTCATGCTGAAAGAATAGAGAGATTTGGAAACCCTAATTTTACAGGAAATAAGCTATGCTTAAATCCTATAGAGGTATTTCCCCCATATCAGTGACATGAAAATCCCTGAATTCTAATATGACATGTAATTACAGGGAAGCAACAATTCTTTCTGGTGTGCCTTTTTTTTAAATGATGTTCAGTACCAAAATATACAACTAAAAATAAAGAAGGTATAAAAAAAAGTAAAGAAATAACCATAGTGGGAAAAGAAAATTGACTATTTTGTTGGCACTCAAATTTCACAAGCAGGCCAGAAATGTGATAATGTCCTATCTCTCCCTTTGCTTTCAGTGCTACACTGATTTATTGTGTACTCTATTTTACTGCATTTACTTAGCATATCCAAAAAGTTGTTTAAATTCTTCAGTCTTAATCTGTCATTAAGTTTGTCTTTCCCCAACTGGAACAGCTACTGGTGGTGGTGTAGAACATTTCAAACCACAGGTTCACAGAGCTCTAGTGGAAAACTAAAACAAAATACTATGTCCCAGGTCCATAAAGTCTGAGGTGCTGTTTGGGTGATTTAAGTCAAAAAAAGAAACCTCAAAAGTATTCCCTAACCATTTGGATGTCTGAAAGTTGTAAGGGCTACACCTCAGAAGGTGCTTAAAAGTGCCTGACTGAGATTGTTCCAGATAGGCTGAAGGAGCTTTTCCTTGACACAACAGCCTACAGGCCAACAAGCTAGCTTGGGAGAGTTCAGGGACTGACTGTGTACAGGGTAACTGAAGCCTGCAGTCCTCAAGCCCCAGCAGCTTAGAATTTGGTCATAGGAGAAAACTCTCTAGACCACTTATAGAAAATGTCTCATGGTGTATAAAATAGATCAAATAGCAGGCTAAAGAAAGCTGGAATTTAACCCAGGTGACAATACTTTCCTGGGAATTGTGTGTCCCAAGTCCCATTGGACTAATTTGAAGAGCAGAAGATTTGAATGGTCCTAGGGCAAGGGTCTCTCCTTCTTCTGGGATGTCTAACCCCTCAGTTCTTAATGCAAAAACTGACCCATCACCAGTGGTCCTAAAAACAGGAGGGGGCACTGAAGTACAGAAAATTGTTTTGGGCTCCAGCTGCCTGCCTTGTTGGCCACGTCACACAAGGGTTGTATTTAAATTCCCTGGGTGGAATTTCACCCCTGTCTTTCTTACTGGTTATTTGAGATACCACCCCCTTACCCTCCTATTCCACATCACAAAGCAGTTTGCCTGGCTCAGGTGTGGGTATTTCCATCCAGCTTCACTGCAGCTGAGGCTCTCTGTGGACCTCGACCCAAACCTCACAAATATCTGAGTCCCTGGCAATCACAAAGTAATGGAAGCATTACCCTTCAGAAGGGTAAAAGCATTGAACAGAACCAGCAAAGTGCTCTGCAGATGAAGTGGGGTGGGCTGCCTAGTTGTTAATAAGTGTATGTTGTTTATCATGACCACAAATTTTCCCTTTTCCAGGTGGTGTTCACTGCTAACGATTCCGGTCACCGCCACTACACCATCGCTGCTCTCCTCAGCCCTTTCTCCTACTCAACCACTGCTGTTGTCACTGATCCCCAGGAATAAACATGTACCATCTTTTCACACTTTCCTCCACTAGAACTATCATAGGCTTTTAGGGAGAAGGTTTTTCCTACTGCTAATGCATAACTTTTTGCTACATTAGTTGGTTTTTTTCCATTTTGTAACCTGGCAAACTTCAAACAAGTCAATAAAATATTACTTCTTTAAAATAATTTTGACTCAGTTAGGGGAATTTTATTGTTTTCTAAAATATTATGATTTGCATTAAAGTGCAAAGGACATCTGAAAAGCACACGTGGGATGACACTTAATTTAGTTTTGTTATCTTCCTCCATTGCCTTAAAGAAGTCTCACCAAATACATTGGCTCAAAACAGGAAATTCATATAGTTGTGTTACCTTAAAAAAATTACAAATAAACGTGCTCAAAATAAGAAAGTCATCTGTGCTACTCCAAGTTTACACATAGAAAATATGGTCCCACTATCAACCAGGTCACAGGGTGAATAGGTGAAATTCTGAATACCTAGCAGCAGAACAAACAATGCAGAAACCATTGAAATAAGTATGACCAGAGAGCTGAAAGAGTTAAAATCTGTGTACCTTTGCTTAAAACTTCAGGTAAACCTCAACACATTGATGTCTCAAGAGGAAAGTTTGCTGCTCAATCAATCCAGGAACTACAGAAGTAATTTCAATTAGCACTCTTATTAACATCTTTAATAGTAATTATTTGACATAACACAGCTGACTACCCTATATAGGTGCATTCCAGTTAAATCCCTAATAAGTCAAATTAAAAAAAAGTCCAAAAAGAGAAGTGTAATCTTAATAGTCTCTTCATATTTTTAGAAATAGGAAAACGTAAGCTGTAGAGTGACTGTGATTCAAATGAAGTTTCTGATAAACTGACTATAGTAAAGGCTTTGAGGCTTTTAGCAATGATCTCTGTATTGTATTTAAAATATCCTGAAGTAGAGGAATTTGTTCTAACTGGATTACATAAACTACAGAGAAAGAAACTGAAATCATGCCAGCCAGAAACCTGCAGCACTCATTTGCCACTGACCTTGGAGTTTATACCCAGACTCTGCCAGGATGACGGCATAGCAAGTGAATTCACAAGTTACAAAAGCTTGCCTTTAACATTTCACTGGTTACTTTTTCATGGATTTCTAGATGCTACCATAGTTACACAACTCTTGTAAATAGTGCAAACAGTTTCAAAACAGCAACCATCATAAAATATGGAGATTTTATGGGATCCTGCTATTCCTGGAGCTTGAAAACCAGTAGGCTTCATTTGAAGCGTCTTATGCTAAGCCCTCAAAATAGGACTTAAATTTACTCATATAGATATACTCAGAAAAAAACCAAAACAAAACAAAGAGAAAAAAACTACTCTGCTTGTACTCATCCATCTGATGAGAGGATAAATCTAGTAAAAGAGTGTATGTACATATGTCTGAGCAAAGATCAGAAATACAAAGTTGAATTTCAAGAAGCCACATTTCCCTCAAATGAATCAGATGCTTCCAGTAGGAGTTGACTTGCAGCTATATAGGGAAAGTCCTGAGCTTGTACTGAATCTAAGGGACAAGAGACACAACTTAAAATACTGTTAAAATGTGCTTAGGAAGTTGGTGTGGAGGTATCTTGATGCCATGTTGAAAACCAAAAGTACTATATTTTTCTTCCTAGGGAATGCGTAAGATAACAAAGTAGCCCACAGATTATCCACACATCTTATTAGAGATGGGGAGGAGAGCAACACAGAGAGAAATCTCTTAATATATGAGCATGGGTGACTCAGTTAGGCCAAGCCATAATCACAGAGAATTTCTCACTGAAATTGCTGAGTTGACATAAAATTGGTATTTCTCTCAGGTATATACACCAATTATTCCTCAATACAGCATTATTCCTCAATAAAAAGAGAAAAATACAGAATAGACATTTCTTCGAAGAAAATTAACACAGTAGTTGTACTAGGCTATGTTCACAATATTTCCACAGACAAGGATAGAAAAGGCTTATTTTCACAGACAAGGTTCATGTTTGTATGGGTTACTTATTTTCTCATTGTTTACTAAGTAAATAGTATGAATCTACGTGTTGAAAGTCATAGGAGTTTTCTGATAAGTAGCTTCATTTCAGAGGCCTTGATATAAAAATCACAGCTTTCACCATTTTCTGCTTGCTGACACAGAGTTCTAGTGGTAGGCAAAATGGCTTTTCATTCTGTATTTCTGGTTTTCTTAGCTGGCCTGGCACTTTGCTCCGAAGCCGCACCATTGGTAAGTGTCTCAGGACTGAAGTCCTTCTACTCATGTAGTCCCAATTCTTTTTTTTTTAATTCTTTTTTTCATTATTGTTTTGATTTTACAGTATGTACTGACTGTAGTTCTCTGCTGCTGCTCTTTTCTGGTTCTTCTTTCTCCTGCTCTAGTGATTAGTGAGAGGTCTTTGTGGGTAGAGAAGTAGCACTTGTCATTAGACACAGCAACTACATGAAAAACAAAGGACAACAAGAAAGGAAAACTATTGTATTCACTAGACAAAAAACCTTGAGCATTCATAACATAATGAATAATCTGTGTCATGAGAAATTAATCTCCTGTTACAAAATCAATGCTAGAGAAAGGCCTTCTCTAGACTTCTGCCTTACTGCTCTACTCACTACCGCTTAATCCCATGTAAGTAAAGAACAGAGCTAAAGTCAGGATTCTTCTTCCAGAGAGCTCATTTATCCCAGGAAAGCAAGCTAAAGACTCAGACACTTCAGCCTGAAATTCTCCTACAACAGCCTCTCCTCAACTACTCATTTTTCCTCTCAACTCTGATCTTTGGGAAAATAATACTTGACTAACATTGTTGAGGAATTAGGGCTTCATTGAACTCCCAGGGTGCAAAAGTCAGGAAAATCAGCGGTGGCAGTGCAGCCCTTCTTGCCAAGGCCTCACGAGTAACGCCAGTGAGGAGCCACTGCATCCCAGAAAGGGAGCATGAGGAATCTGGGCATACAGGCAGTATAGATACACGCTGATACCTTGGTATGATACTAGACAGAGTTCCTGGCTCTTAATGAAAGAGAAGGCTCTTAATTTTTAACCATCTACATCACAATTCATTTTACAATGATTAAATGGCTGCTATTTTGAGATCATCCCTGCTTAGCACCTTCTACAAAGCTCTGTTTTCTCACTCTTCATCTGCAGAATTAGGTAAAGTCAAAGCACTGACTCAACTCTATTTTTGAAAAGGTAAAACATCAGGCCATAATCACTACTTGTGATGGATGTATCGGGATGAAACCATAGTCATCCTGTATTTGAAGGAAAGTTTTCCTCTCCTGTCTTTGTGTAGCTGTCAGGGTTGACAAATCTGATTCAACATGCTGTTAGGAGAGAGTCTGTATGTGATGCTTGTCATGTTCACAGCAGAACTGTAACTCTGTGGCAACAGAGATAATTCTACGGAACAAGGTATCAGAGGCTCTCAAATCCAGAAAGCTGCGCTCAAATTGCCAGTCCAAAATACAGAGGAAGACTTGGCAGATATTCCTACTACCTTTGAGGATGTAATTATTTCCTGTTGAGGCCACAATTTAGTTACAACTTCATGCTGGACCTGATGTGTAGCTAAGCCATGCCAAAGAAGAAATAGAAATGTGGTCTCACACCTGCAGCGCCTCCTTGGTGTACATGGCTACATGCCCAACAGCTCCTGAAGTCTTCCTTCCTGGCTCTACCATATCCAGCCCACAGAAAGCTTCAGATTATGTTTCCTCAGTACACAGCAATATTCTGGTGGAAAATATGGTCTCTACTGTAGATCTGAAGAATAATATTCCTTACTATTTTATGATGCAATGTTACTTACCCTTCTCACAAACATAAAAATTCTCACTTCCTATTGCAGGACCCTCTTGATGCCAAGCATCCTCTTTCCGTAAAAGTTGTGGATTCCGTCCGAGGAAGTCCAGCTCCAAATGTGGCAGTTAAATTATATAAAGAAGCTGCAGATGGATCTTGGGAACTGTTAAATTCAAAGTAAGTCACACTAAAATTATGAGTGAAAGAGAGGAAAAGCAATGGGAAGAGGTCAAATAGTTGAAAGAGCTACTCCACATTCTCTAAAGTGAGATGTCTGTGTCGCTCAGAGGATAGCTAACATACAGTTGAATTAACTTGCTGCAGACTCTCTTCTAAATGTACAGCAGTTTCAACTACAAAAATGGTTTTATAGCGCTTTATAAATCTTACAAACACAAGAAAACATTTTAAACTATCCTTTAATTGAATCATCACTTCTCTTTAATTTTGTTGCAAAGGTCTATATTACCATTAAGGACCCAGCAATGAACTGCTTCATTGTTACCAGCAGTATCAGATAGACTCTTACATTTTGAAACCAAGACTCTGTTGAGAATCCTACCTTTACTGGCCATTTTCCATCTTTCTAAATGGATTTTAATTTCTTACAACACCACAGTTTTAAAAAGAAACTGTTTTGAACATATACCACATCATATTTGGTAGCCTTCTTTACTTCAAGATAAAGGACTTAGCCAAAAGGAGAAAATATGGGGATACATTGTTCTCACCTTCTCCCCCACAGAGAAGCAATCATACCTCAAAAAATAAAAAAGACCCTCCAGATATATAAATATTGCCAAGTCTTTTGAAAAACATAATTGTAGAATTTAAGATACAGATGACTTTTTTTAAATTGCCCTCTATTTTAGTGTATATTAACACTTAAAAAAAATAAAAAGCAATTTTTACTTAAAGTATAGCCTGAAGTTAAATTGGAAACATTCTTAGGAGATACGCAGAATGAGCATTTTTTATTCACCAAGCAATATTCCACTTTCACACTAAGCTCCTCATGATAGTTGCAAAGTCTCACCTGAGAACTTTCTAGGTGTGCTAACAGTCTATTCACCTCTAAAAAACAGTGAGAAAGGGCTCTCAAGGGCTAGAGCTGGCATAGCACATGAACTTCAACAGTGGAATCCTGGGCTCAGATGCATTTCTATACATTTCTGCAGAAACTGCTCATATGCCTCTTTGGTGTCGTGGAGCAGTGGGCTGGCACAAGTAACACTGCTCTCATGTGTCATTGCAAAATATAGGTACAGTGAAGGTCACACTTACTTGTACAATGTGGGGAAAACAATCTATTCATGTTGTCCTGCTTAAATTGCCTCACTCCCTCAAGTCAGAAGAAAATTTCACACATATTCTATCACTGTAAATGCGTGAAATTTTCCAGTAAGAGTGTTCAGTTCACTTATCTTCACTTCTGAGCTTAGAGACTCTATATAAAGATACTCATAACAGCTGGATGTTGACTGAAGTCTCAAAAACACATTTAACATTTGAAAAAAGGAGCAAAGTAACCTCAAGATAAGGTAAGCAAAAGTCATACTAAACCAACCTCTCCCACCTTGATAATTTGTAAATAATTGAATGCTAGCAAGATGTCCTGTAACAAATGTTCTCAATCAAAGATGCATTTGGAATTATCTGAAAAAGCTTAATAGAGAAGTGACCAGTTATCTAGCAATGATCAATCTATGACAAAGTAAAAAAAAAAGATGCAATTGAACAGATATCAAACTTCTGATAACTGGTTATGGAGCATCTTGTGAGATATAAATGGTATTCTATGCTTTTTTTTCTAAGCTACATGAAAAAACAAATCCTAAGTATTGCAATGCACAATGATATTATTTTCCTCTGCATGCAATTTGAATTAAATATGTTCAAAAAAATTTGGCAGCTAGAACAAAAGACAGTGGTGTTTACATACCAAAATTAGGCACTGGCAGCTCTGTTATTTGTAAATAACCTACCTAATAAAAAACCTCCTAGTATTACAAAACTTATTTCACAGGAAGGTGAAACACAGAAAGGTGTTTCAAAAAAGAGACATGTCTGAGAGACAGCATTCAATATTGCTTCTGGACCCCTAAATGAGTTGGTTTTCAATGATGTATGGTATCATACCAGTGCTATGGCTTTATATAACATTGATAGTACCTTCAAATCAAACAAAACTGCCTGTTTGTTGAGGCCAATACAAACCACAAGGAATTCCATGAGGCTGCACTGCTAGCTGACCTATAGTCATCACAAATAACAGATCTCAAATTTCTAATAGCCAACTGTAAACAAAACTTACACTGATAAAACAACTCAAAGAATTTAAATAAGAAAGAAAACCATGGGAAACTCAGGATACTTGACACTGCTTAGTTGAAAAGTGAGTGCATCATAGAGCTTCCACATTGCTTACAGCAGTGGTGAAATTTCCCTCTGAGTGGGTTCATTTAATTGAAGTCCAAGACTCTGCCAAGAGTCTATGAACAATAATGCCAGTTTTTGGCTCTCCCCCAAACCATGCAGAGTTAATGAGATGGCAGGCAGCCATCTGCTGTGGTCACTGTGGAAGTAGAAAATGCCAAGATAAGCTCTGAGGCATCCATAATACAGATGGACATAAGCCGTTCCAGATCAATAGAAATATTCATCCTATTACTTAAGCCACACACCACTCAAGTTCAATTGCTAAAAATGCATCTTTCTCAGGTTTTTAACCAAACTATAAAAGTGTGTTCTTCTACCATTACACAGGCAAACCAATGACAAAGGCAGCCTCCCAGAGCTTACAACTAAAGAACAATTTGCAGCAGGGTTATACAAGCTTGAGATTGATACAGCCTCTTACTGGAAGAGTCTGGGCTTGAATCCCTTCCACCAACATGCTGATGTGAGTATTCCTTTTTTCCTCTACTTCAGTTGCAAAGAATAAAGATACTTAATATGCGTGGACTTCAGTTACTAACTGTCAGTAACTCCCCGTGTGTGGAGACACAAGGCTTGACTCCATTTTCTCAGAAGGTTGATTTATTATGTTATATATTGTATTAAAATACTACATTAAAACTATACTAAAAGAACAGAAAGAAAAGAAGATCAGAAGGCTACAAAGAACAAGAATAGAACAGAATGCATAACAAAAATCCTGCTCACAGCCTTGGCACAGGTGGCTGTGACTGGTCATCAATTGAAAACAATCCACATGGACCAACTGAAGATGCACCTGTTGCATTCCACAGCAGCAGATAGTTATTGTTTACATTTCTTTCCTGAGGCTTCCAGCTCCTCGGGAAGAGAAAAATCCTAGGAAAGGATTTTTAATAAAATATCATAGCTACAACTAACTGCATATGTTGAACTTCATTTACACTTTAAATTATTTTTATATTAACACTTTAAATCCACAGTCTCAAAGCTTTGTAGGAACACAGTCATGACAGAACCTCGTTGCTAGCTCCCCCACAAGTCTCAAAGCTCCTACATACATTATTTATGGAGAGGATTTCATTCCTTCTACCTCTACTTAAGCCCATGGTTGTTTTTGTGATTATTCTGTCTGAGGGACAACAAGTGGTGTACTCTGTAAAGTCCCCTGGGAAAAGCATTGATCTGTCTTTTGCAGATAACAGTTGTATGGCTACAGACAAAGTTCATAATTTAGATTTTTAAAGAAAGAAAAGTATGTGCTATGTTCTGGATGCTTGGAGCCCCAGTTTACAACAGAAAAAAAAAAGAGGTACAACATGCCTCTTTAATTTGCCTAGGACAACTAAACTGGTTAGAGAAAGGTGTTCCAAACCAGGTACTGCTGGAGGATTTGGGGACTGTCTCCTTCCCCTCAACAGCATTAGTGCTTTCCTATGAGCTTTCAGTAGCAGCAGCTCTGTATTAGTTGTTTGTTGGACTGTGACAGATCTGCTTAGCTGTTCCTTATCTCCATGAAGAAAAGGTGGCTAACACCTGGATTAAATTCTCTGTCTTCTGACAAACGAAAGGTGACATTCTTATACTAGACAATAATGAAGGTTAATAGCCTTGCATTCTGTGGGAAGTGAAATAAAAAAGGGAAAAAGAAGGATTTACAGCATGTAAGTAAATTGATTGTATATCAAGATAATGGTTGCTTGGAAATTAATTCAATCTACAGTCCAAGAGCCTTCTTTCTTAAAAATAAGCCTCAGTAGGGAACACATTTCCCTCACTTCACTGGTTGTTTCATATGCATCTTTTTTATTAATGTTGAAAGGAGCACAAGCTGTGCATCACAGAATGCTATTAAACTGTCTATTTTAAAAGCTGACACCTCTTATCTCACAACACAAAATAATGTATTATGTGGAGTGAGAAATCAAAGGACAGAATGTCCCTGGTCAGGGAGATGTTAATAGGGCTGTGGTAAATAATTGATATATAAGGTTATTATCATGCTGTGGCCAGATAACTAATGCAGTCTTTCTCTAACTATTGAGTTTGAATCAGAACTAAAGAAACTCATTGTTTTATACTCTGGCCTAATGACAGCTAATGTAGCGCTGTCTAATTCTGTTCCTTGAAGTACAGAACATGGTAAGAGCAACAAAAGCATTCCAACACTTGAAAGAATGGGCAAATGTGTTAGCTTTTTTTAAAATAAAGACAATCAGTGGGGTTCATAGAAGACCATAAGGAAACAAGAAAAATGTCTTGTTGCTATTTATGAGTACCAACAAGGAAATGCCAATTTGGATAAAGGGACTGAATAAAGTCTTAAATAATGTGACATTTATACTTTTAATAAAGGGTATTTAACCAGTGTAAAAGCTGTGTTACAAGCAGTCACACTTCAGAGTGGCAATATTTCTGAAGTTTCATGTGAAATTACATACAATGATCACAATGTTTCTATCTAGGCTTTTATCTAGAGATCATTTCTCATTTTGTCTCATATTTGTTTTTTCTTTTTCCAGGTGGTGTTCACAGCTAATGATGCTGGTAATCGGCGTTACAAGATTGCTGTTGTCCTCAGTCCCTTCTCTTACTCAACCACAGCAGTAGTTAGTGAGCCAGTGGAATAAAAGCTGACATTAAGCATGAAAATTCAGTTGTGTAAATTAAAATTTCCATAAATGATAAGAACTTCATATCTGAATGTATCAACAGCTTTAGATTTCTTAGTAAATCACTAAGTTTTTTATTCACTTTGTTAACTTTAGGAAGAAAGTGTATTGACTTTGTTTTCAAATACTCTTCCAAATAAAAGTATTCTGCATTTCTGTATTGTCAGTATTGCCCTTCTGAGTAAAAGTTTAGGATTTGAAAAAAACACATTAACCTCAGGAAAAAATTTATTGTAATTCCATTATGGGGTCTCTGACAACAAACTAGTCTTCTATGAAGCTGATAAACTAAATTTCTTCTTGCAAAGGAATTGAACAAAACACATCTGTGAAAGGCGTCTCATGAAAAGCAAGCAGATGGAAAATACAGTCCACCACTACCATCTCCTATGTTTTATTAATGAAGCCCACAACAGAAGAAGTCACATGGGATTACTTACTCAGGACCCCCCATAATAATCAGATAAACTCACCTCTCAATTCTGATTTTGGAGACATGGAAGTGAAAGCAGGTAAAGGTGACAGCATAGTAGAACAGCATTTAAAGACGCTAAGCAGGCTACAGATACTTAAGATGCCTTCTTTCCTGTTTTCCAATATATCACAATTGGTGACATTTTCAAGGACAGACCAGAAGGCTGTGTTTCAGAAAAGTATATCACTCAAACATGCTTGAAGAACTTTATTCATATATTTGCAGAAAATTCTGCAAATATTGTCCCAAGTTAAAGTACTCCCCAGAATTACTTGCATACCTCAAACCATCAGACATTTTCATAATAGCTGTAAAATGCAAATAAAAATAAGGATAACTGATGAATCCTAAGAAAATCAGTTTCCTATTTAATTCCAGGAAAAATATGGATGAATCCTTCTATTCCCATTCTAGTGATTCCTAAATAGGGAAGAACCATTAGGAGATTCAACAGAAGAACAACCCTCTCTTGGAAAAGTACGTAAAAAGGTTGAGTCACTTAGCCTAATAAAACCAAAAGCTGAAAGTCTATAAATATAAAAAAAGGGAAATGCCCTGCTAGCCTAAAGGCTTGATCCCATCACAGTCTAACCTGATGTATTTGGACAGGCGTGTCTTTTTTTTTTTTGCTGTTACTTTGGGGTACCGAGCACTAGAAAAACGAACATTTTATCTAGAAACAAAACACAAAGATGATATCTTTTCCACAGAAGCTCAGAATAAACAAACCAACACAATCTTTAGAACATTATATTTCATAAAAGACAATGATAAAAAAGTACAAACATTTTCATGAACAAAAAAAACCAAAACTATGATAGTACACAGGAAATTCCCAGCATTTGTTTCAGTGCATTTTTTCATTGAGCCTATCTTACATACCTCTACAAATAAAATAATCTTAAGTACACTTCCGTTTGCTGATATGCAATGGATCCTTTTAATTTTTTTTAAAGAGCTGGTTCATTAGTAACCCACTACAACAATTAGTAAACATAACAATAGAAAAATAGAGTGGCAGATCCAAGAAAAAGGACATTTTGCACTTGCTTTTTAATACACCACCTATTTGCAAAATGGACTTTAATATTCTCCTACTTAAATCTGAGATATAGAAAATGGGCTTGAGAGTATCTTAGCATATTAATCAGATTCTACTCTTAATATTTCAGTAATGTTTTTACTTGCTAATTTTCAAGACCTTCAGGATCTTGTAAAATACTCCCTTCTTCTTCTCCCTCCATGTTCACTCCTCGAAGACATCCCTTATTTGCCTTGTCAGCAATACAAAAGCCAATGTGATTGGCTTCTCTCTATATTTTACAAGAACCATGAAATTATCAAAAGGAATGTGCACAACTCTTAGTTCTGCATCATATTTATTTTGTTTGAAGGCACTGGCTATGTTAAAATTCACTACAGAAGAGTACTGAGTTCAGACAGGTAGTATACAAACACTGTTTTGATGTAATTTAAGATGGCAATTTCTAAAACTTCCCAACAAAGTGATAAAAGGTATTTAGAGAAGAGTGTTGGTCAACAATTCATAATTTAACATCCATCATTTTGGGGCACCAAAATGCAAAATTTTAAGAACTCAGCTATATGTCACAATCCATTCACATACTGGTTTAATTCACATTTTTCTAGGACCATACATGATCAGTCACTTAAAGCTGTAAAGTTATATTAGTTCAGCCACAGCATATGTGTAATATAGTATGTATATATGTAAGTATATATACATATATATGCATTAGATTTTTTTAAATTACACATAAACTTCACAGAATGCCTAAGAAATGGGAACAAAAGCATGCTTCAGAAAACAGTACAGACCTACGATACCAAAGGATGTTTCATTATTGTAGGTGTGAAATTGTAGGTAAACCTGTACTGAAAACCAGGAATCACTTCAAAGTTACATGAGGGATTTAAAAATTTATTCAACTGTTCTTAAAGAACTGTATCAGTCTGCTATGAAATAAGACTAATTTTATTTTGAAGATATAATTGTTTATACAGTGTATTATCTCAGCTTTCTCCATATGCTTCAGAATGTTATATACACCCAGTTATAAGAAAATCTGCCAGGAGATGAGCAAACCACTTAAGCATGCTTTTGAAGGATGTTTTCTTCACTTTATGCTTTTAGTTATTTTCATTTTATTACATCATTCCTAAAGCATATTAGATTAGCTGGTAGATATTAAGGTAATTCCAGTATGGTATAAAATATCCTTTACAATTGCTCTCAACTACTAAATTAAATAATAATATTTCTACTAAATATTTGGGATGCCTACAGGTAAGCTCATAATGTTACCGAAGGATGGCTAAGGGCAAAATTTGCTGCTGGGATGCCAAATAAATAAAAGGTGTTTATGGCGAACAAACTTAAAATATACAAAGCACCACGCCATCTGTGGCAGCAATTCAGGAAACCAACATATAGTAATGACTTAAAGTTAGGATTCTTTGTCAACACTCTTACAGAACACTCTATGGATAAACAATCCTTATTATATATACTGCTTTCCATTCTTTATGGGAGCAGAAATCGGTCTTTGGTTCCTAAAGAGTTGAGTAACTGTGACAAACAAAACAATTTAATATATCTTGGTCACTATATTTGCATTAACATAGAAAATAAATGACCTGGTCCTTTTCCTTTGTATTAACAAGGGATGTAAAAAAATATTAGTAAAGATAATAATGCTTAGCAGTGGGATACTTTCAGGTAGCATAACATTACAAGCAAAGAGAAAATAAGATAAGGAAAGAGGCTAGTTACTCATACATTTAACACCACAAAAATAGAGAAGCAGACAGGACCAATCCTTAGTGGGACTGCACAACCTCAATCTCATTGACAGTCATCGACTTGAGGATCCTCAGTGCATCATAGAAGCACTCAGCACTCTACCAGGATAGGCCCTTAAATAGCTATATTGAATAATATATTATGAGTGGAATTTTAAAAAGCACTTGAGATTGGCCTGCTTTCTGTTCTGCTTATGTCAACACCATCCTCATCAGCAGAACAGCGCGACCAACACCGTGCTTCTGAGAATCCCACACTGCAAGCATTTGACTATCAGAACTGTGTTTTGCTATTCTCTTAAAAATCTAACTTTAATATTCTTCCAATGAAGACACATTTTTGGCTCTTCTAATTTTGGAGGAATAAAAGTGCTGTTTACTAGATTAAAAAAAAAAAAAAGAAAGAACAATACCAAAATACTGTACGCACCCAGACACATTGTTTTAGGCATTAAAATCCCTGACATTGACACTAGTGGCACACTTGGAAACAGTTAAGAGTTCCTGTAGATCATAATATGCAACAACTGCAAGATTTTCTGTAATACACATGCAATATGCATATAAATACGATTCAGATGGCAGGCAGGGTATCATACAATTTTGCTGGCAATAAATAAAATCAAAAGCTTTCTTTCTAGCAGGTTCATATAAGAATTTGATTTTTCTAAATAGATATGCAGAAGGCCTAGAGCTCAAAACTTGTATAACAGTTTACAGTCATAGCTGGCCAACAATTAATATTTCCTTCATTTCACATAAGGTATAACCTTTTTATAAGCATACTTACATTTTACACTTGTTCTTTCATGCTAACAAAAACATTCCTATAGAATTCAAACAAGAACACACTCAAATACATACTGAAGCATAAAATATTGAACAATTGAAAAGCAATGTACACACATTAATTTACATCACATATTTACAAAACACATTTTAAAAAGAAACAAAAGCATTCATTTAAATATGAGGAAGGGCAGTTTAGTATAAAAAATTCCTGGAAGAGGCCTCTGTTCTTACTTCCAGGGAAGCTACAAGTCTATTTTCTGCAGTTTATTTAGTTGAGTAGTTAAGATAGAGAGTATGAAGAATGAAGGCTTGAACAGTAGTCTCATGCTGTAAACATCTGAGTGGTAGCTGCTGGCTTTTCCTTCAGATCAAAATGCATGGTACATACAATCACTTCTCACCCCAAATATGCATCATCAGTTTATCAAAAAACTCCAATTCTAAGCTGTTTTTTGTTGGTTTTGTTTTGTTTTACAGTGTTTATCAGTAGCTTCCAGTGTTATAAGTTTATTCTGGTAGGATATCTTGCCATTCCACTTCCATCAATAGTCTCTAACAGGAGCAAGTTCTGGTAGGAGGTTAACAGTTATATTTTTATACAATCTACTGACAAGTATTTTAGGAGTATATGCTAAATTGTTCAACCCATCAATATACTGACGTTCTCTGGAATACCTCAGAAGTTTGTATCTGCAGAAGGAGTTGGAAGAAGAAAAATGAAAAAGATTTGCAAGAAACAATTCAGTTGTTGTTAGACATGATACTGTGACAGTCATTTAATTTTCAAGTATACTTTAAATTCTGAAACTACTTTTCAGACCCTTGAAATCACCAAATAACCTACCTTAGGTTTAAAAGTAAGCTTTTAAAGATTTTTAATACGGTTAGATTTTATGGTCACATATGCAAGTTAACATTAAGACTAAATAACAAAGGGAGCATTCCATATGTACACTTTTTATGGTCCTAAACTGAATAGATTTTGAAACATTATTCAATTTCTTCATGTTCTTTTGCTATAAAA